CTTCTCTCTGGATGAGCGGAGGCAGGCTCATGGGGTTTGGGACTCTGAGTCCGAAGCAGCATTGACTTTTTAGGACCAGGATGGTTCCCCTTTTATCCTTGTGAATTAGAACAGCTCTCAGGAAGCCCTAGATTGTCCTCTTTCCTTGGGCTTATAGAAGTCTTCCGTTTATATTGCTAGACACTTTTTGTAGACACTATGAATGAGGGTTTTTTTCCCCTTAAAATTGCTTTTTCTAATAGGGAGCCTGTGTTTTGTTGTTGTTGTTTTGCTTTAGTTTTGATCATTATCTGTTAAGAAAAGTTTTCTGGAGCAAGTAGATAATATTTGGGATTTTAGAATTAAAAGTAAAATTCCTGCTCTAGGTTGGTAGTTGCCTTTGGGTTTCTGGTGCACATCTGCAACATCACCTCCTTTCTTCAAACCATCACCTCCTTCCTTCAAATGGGGCTGGGCCACGCAGCGAGTCCGCCTTTGTGTCAGTGGTCTTGTTTCGGACAGGACTGTTTGTTGTTACTGTTTTACATTGTTACTGTTTTTGCTTTAAACGGTTATTTTGTAGAGATTAGAGGTAAGAACATATGTCTCTTAGTTACCACTTGCTCCCCTTTCCTTCTTTAGAGGGCAGGTCCATGGTGAGAATTCTTTTTTTTTTTTTTTAAAGATTTTATTTATTTATTTGAGAGAGAGAGAATGAGAGATACAGAGCACGAGAAGGAAGACGGTCAGAGGGAGAAGCAGACTCCCCGCTGAGCGGGGAGCCCGATGCGGGACTTGATCCCGGGACTCCAGGATCATGACCTGAGCCGAAGGCAGTCGCTTAACCAACTGAGCCACCCAGGTGCCCTCATGGTGAGAATTCTTCCAGCTTCTGTGCATCTGAGGAAGCCTTGATTTTTGCAAAATATTTTACTGGATATAGAATTCTAGACTAACAGTTCTTTATTTCTTTCCAGCAGGTGAAAGATGTTTCTCCACTGTCTTGGTTTACACTGTGACCCATGAGGAGTCTTTCCTTCTTGTCTTTGTTACTTTGTATTTAAAGTATCTTTTTTTCCCCCCTTAGGTGATTTAAGATTTGTTTTCCTTGTCACTGGTTTTAAACCGTCTATGATATGCCCCGGGGTACTTTTTTTCGTGTTTCTTGTGCTTGCGGTGTTTTAGGCATTATGGGGTTGTAGTTTTGATTTAGATTTGGAACACTTTTGGTCATTATTTCTTCAGATAGTTGTTGTGTTCCTCCCGTTCCCTCTCTCCTCTGGGGCTCCAGTTACTCACATATTAGGCTCTGGAAGTCCCCCAGCTCAGTGACACTGTGTTGATGGCTTCTCAGTCTTTCTCTGTTTCATTTGGATGATTTCTGCTTCTGTGTCTTCAGGTTACCTAATCGTTTCTTCTGTAGTGTTGGTGTCTAATCTGCTGTTAATCCCTTCTACCCAGTATATTTTGCAGTTTAGACTTTGTGGTTTTTATCTCTAGAAGATCCATAAGGGTCTTTACCTTCTTTTTAAAATATCTTCCCTGTCTCTGCTTAATATCAGTTTTTCCTCTGATGGAATCTTCTTGAACACACGGAATATGGTCACAATAAGCATTTTAACAGTTTTGTTTACTAATTCTATTATCTGTATCTTTCCTGAGTCTATTCTAAAGATTTTATTTATTTATTTGACAGAGAGAAATATAGCGAGAGAGGGAACACAAGCAGGGGGAGTGGGAGAGGGAGAAGCAGGGCACCTGCCACGTATGACCTCAGTGCCCCTTGCGATGCCATGGGCTGGGAGCTCTGAGCAGTGGTCCGACCACTTGTCGGGCTCTTCTCACCTGTTTCTGTGTTTCGGTTGCTTCAGGTGGTTGTGTTAGTCTGCCTCCTGCCTGAGGCAGTTGTCTTGTTTATTGGTCCATGTCAGTATGCACCCATTGATTTCTAGTTTGGGGAGTGTAATCCTTTCCTTTTTTTTTTTTTTTTTTTTTTAAGATTTTATTTATTTATTTGAGAGAGAGAGAATGAGAGATAGAGAGCACGAGAGGGAAGAGGGTCAGAGGGAGAAGCAGACTCCCTGCTGAGCAGGGAGCCCGATGTGGGACTCGATCCCGGGACTCCAGGATCATGACCTGAGCCGAAGGCAGTCGCTTAACCAACTGAGCCACCCAGGCACCCAGTGTAATCCTTTCCTATCAGTGTTGATTTTAATGCTCATATTGTCCCAGATTTGGCTTTGATGACGTTTTGACATGCCCTTCTTTTCTGAGCTCTCCCTAACACAAGATGTGCCAGGTCATCCTGTCCTTTCCCTGCGTGAGCCCTGGGGTCATCCGCTTCTCCAGGGAGCGCTGGTTGTTTTAGTGGGGAATTGTATGTAGAAACCAAGCCCTGGAGCTAGACGTGCTCTTTGTTCCAGAGCCCTCGCAGTGGATGCCCCTGGGAAGTCCATGGCCGTGTGCACGTGTGTGTCTACCCACGCGCGCATTTACGTTTGTTTCTGTTTGTAAGTGTCTGTGTGCACATACACACACGTGTATGCACAGTCCGATCACCGCAGGGTGGTCCTAGTGTCCTCCCTTTCCGTGTTTGTGACTTCCTTCTCTGATGTGGAGAAGCCAGGCGCTCACTGTCCTCTGTAGGTTTGCTTATTTGAACGATCGCCGTCAAGGAGCATTCTGTCACTGCCGTCCTTCTCCCCCGCCCCCCCAACTTGGTGCCCCCTCCCTGCCCTGGGGCTGATGCTCCACATTGAATCCCTTCCCTCCTCACCTTGGCTGACCCACAGCACCCCAGATCAGGTCACCCCAACAGGGAGGCCCTCTTTGCCCTTCTTGGCCTCTGACACCCCCTTCCAGCCCCCAGCCGACTCTTCACCCTGTCGCTTGGGGTTCCACATCTTGTGCTGTGATACCATTCCTGCCCTGTGTGGCTCTGGTGCCCAGGCAGGGCCGCTCTCCCCGCTTGGTGCCCTCCTCATCCCCGACTGTGGGCACCTTCCCTACCTTCCCTGCCAATGACTTTGTTTCCTGGAGACACCCTCAGCCTCACTGGCTCAGCTTGGGCACTTCTCAGCAGTCGCTGGGTCTGTTAGTAATGTCCATGGCTGCTCACTGTCACAAGTGAGGGCCTAGATGACATACTGCTCACCTCACCAGGACTTTGGGGGCGTTGCCCTGCTGTTGCCCAGCCTGGTCTCTGCCGCAAGCAGAGCGTCCCAGGAGTGGGGGACTGGTGTCTGCTCAGGGGGTGTGGCAGCCCCTCCTTGGTTTGGAGAGCTGGAAGCTGGGGCTGGGCCCGGTAGAGGGTGCTTCTCAGCTCTTTCAGGCTCCCTGACCCTGGGACCTGCGATGTGGGGTCGGTGGCCTTTGGTTGCACTCTGCCGGCCTGCTGCACGTGGGCCCCAGAACCCCGCAGAGCGCGGGCGTGGTGAAGTGCAGGCAGCCCGCCCTACGAGCCGCCCTTCTGTGGAGGCCACAGTGGGGGAGCGCGTGACTGACAGTGGCGGCTCACAGAAGATCATTCTTCACAAGATGGTTTTCCTCTTGTTTCTTCAGCAGAAGATCTTTCCAGATTGTATTTTTTTTTTTTTTAATTTAAACTGAGGACACAGCAGTTTTTAAAAATCAGACTAAAAATTAAAAGTACTCACTTCTGGAACTTTTTACTTATCAATTAAACCACAGGAGGGACTGGGTACAGAATTTGAGATTTCTCATTCATGGATTGATCCCATTAGCATATTCAAGAGAGACTCAAAAATCCGGAGAAAATATGGGCAGGATAACAAGGAATCTTTCTATTAAAAACAAGGGGGGAAATACATATTTAAACAGTAGGTATAAATTATAGCTTGCAAAGGTTTTTAAATGCCTGATTTGGATATGAATTAAGTATCCTGGTTTTAGATTTTCATTATAGATCTGCTAAGTAGATTTATGGAGCATAAGTGCAATTATCAACAGTTACCCATAGCAAGGAAATTTTGTCTCTTCCCACTTCTCTCTGGATGAGCGGAGGCAGGCTCATGGGCTTTGGGACTCTGAGTCCGAAGCAGCATTGACTTTTTAGGACCAGGATGGTTCCCCTTTTAGTCCTTGTGAATTAGAACAGCTCTCAGGAAGCCCTAGATTGTCCTCTTTCCTTGGGCTTGCATTGGAAGCTGCCTTGCCCCTGTTGTGGCCTGCAAGTGGCATTTGCATTGGAGTGGTTCTGGGGGGCCGCAGAGGACACTGCCTGGAGGCAGCCTGGGCTTCCTGCAGATGCGCGGCCTCCGGCCTGGGTAGGAGGAGCTGCTTCGCCCCATCGCACTGGGCATGCGCCAGGGTGCGATTAACGCAGTTCTTGGGCACGAGACCTTTGGCAGAGCAGACCTGGGTTTTCAAGTCCCAGCTTGCCCGATGGTCTGTGTTGCTGTGGGCAGTTTACTGAGCTCTCTCTCTGTCTTTTCCTCTGTGACATTAGAGCTGTCTTGCCTTGGTGTCACCGGGCCTGCCCAGAGCACCCCCAGCTCCCAGCGATGAAGCGCTGTGGCTGATGTATTCTCTGTTAGTGGACACATTTCGCTGTTAAACTGAAGGGCATTGATGAACTTTCCTTCACAGTGACTTTTTTATTTTTAGGATACTGAAGTGTATAAAGCTACAGTAAAAGATGACCTTACCAAGTGGCAGAATGTTCTGAAAGCTCATAGCTCTGTGGACTGGCTAATAGTGGTAGTTGAAAATGATGCCAAGAAAAAAAACAAAACCAACATCCTTCCCCGAACTTCCATTGTGGACAAAATAAGGAATGATTTTTGTAATAAACAGAGTGACAGGTAAGTGTATCTTTAATTTACCTCATTGGCTGATACCTGGCCGGTGGACATTACTGCTTTCCGCGTAGGGGCTCTGACTCCGTGAGTGGTGGTGGCGGGCCTGACGCTTCAGCACGGGTGGGGGGCTGCTGAAGGGAAGCCCAGGGCCCCTCCTCGCGGCGTTTCTGCTCTGGCCGGTGAAACGCTGCCTGGCGACCGCGGAGGAGACACAGCACGGTGGGTCCCTTTTGAGGACCCGTCTTGCGTGTCGGTGTAGCCGGGGTTTTGGGAAGGCCCATGGTCCTCGTCTACAGCAGGGTTCCCGACATGCCTTTAGTGAGGGGTCCCCGTGTTTTGTTTGTTTACCTTAATACCTATTACGAGTTCCTCAGAACCAAAATTCTGAAATGCTGACTTGATCTTTAGAATCTGAAAGGGAACCCCGAAACTTTGGTGGCTATGTTATTTCATGGACTTCCTTTCCCCTTGCTTCTCTCTGTTGGGCCCTGTTCTGTTTCTGGTGGTGGGGGGAGCTTACTTCCCGTTTCAGCGGTGCCAGGCCTAGTGGCATTTTTCCTGAGATCTGGGGGTTTAGTCTGTAGGTTGTAGGTCAGTGCTTTGACTCCCCCAGGTCCTGGGGTGCAGCACTGAGCCTGGTCCCTGCTCTGGTCCGGTGTGGTCTCCCGGAGGGATGGGGCATGGCTTCATACCCATGTCCACACCTGTGGCACCCTGGTGGCCGGTGCTCCGAGTGCGACCAGAGACGGGAGCAGGGGGCGAGGCTATGAGACGAAGGGCACCTGGGAGCTCGGGGAAGAGCGCGGGCCAAACCCTGGGTGTGTGGCCAGGAGAGCCCACACTGTGTCACACTGGCACTGTGACCGCGCCCTGTGTCAGGCCACCCAGGAAATTGACAGTTTTTCAGGGGAAGGAGCCTTCGTGGTCTTCCTTTTCATGTTCCACACAGTTCTGGACGCAGAGTAATGTTCAGACTTGCTTTATTTATACTTTGAAATAAATATTAGATTGTTGAGCTTATGGTTTATCTTAGAGAAATTTCATGACATCTGGACTTCTGGGACTTTTTCCTAAGGCCTGTTATTCATAAACTAGTTATCCGAAAGGAATCAACTTAGCATTTCGACAAGATGCCCCATTACTGAGTGTCCTTCCCCTGTGTGGTTCGGGTATACCGGCATACTTGTTCTGGAAGGAGGAGCAGGCCGCCGGGAGGCTTGAGGGGAACACAGCTCTGGTGTTCCACAGGGAGAGGCCGCAGGGGGCGGTGGGCGCTGACTGACGGCCAGACCAAACAGCTTCTTGGTCTCATTTCTTTGGGATGTTATTAAGTACATAAATTGGTACTAATGGGCCATATTAGTCTAAACCTGTGACATGTTCGAATTACAGGATTTTTTTCAAAGTGCCTGTTGATTCAAGTCTATGTTACCATTTTATCTGATTGCTTAAAGTGTGTTCCTGCCGAGTCCACTGAAAACCTAGCTTGTTTTTAATGACTCACTCTTTATACTTGAAATCTAACTTACTAAAATTTTTAACATTTCACCTCAGTATGTAAACATGACTTCCAGCATTTTGATTTTCATTAATTTGCAAGCTACCTTTAACAAATCTGTACTTTGATTTTTAAAGTAAAGAGCTGGGTCAGATATTCATACATACAAATTTGATAACATCTATATTGGCAATTGTTTTGTTAGCCGGTGTGATATCTGGCCTTTGGAAACGTTGGTGCACTTGGTCCTGGGGCGGCTTAATTTTGTATGTAATTTGTGATTGTAAACACTGCATGTTCATGGTAGGATTATTAGAAGAAGATGATAAGCAAAGTGAAAATAGATCTTAACTCTTAGTATTTGGTATGTATTTTTCAAACTTTCTCAGTATACCATGCATAATGTTTTGTGCTTGCTTTTTGCACTTAGTATGTTGTAAAAAGGTTCCCATGAACAATGAATGTATTTCTCCCCCGTTATTGTCAGTGAGTGTGTGACACGCCCTAGTGGTGATGTACTAGTGGTTTATCCGGTCCTCTGCTGGACAGACATATTACCGCTTAGGATGAACAGGATCGTAAACATCTTTTGAGCTTGGTTGTTGTGTACGTCCTTAATGATTTCCTTAGGATACATCCCTAAAAGGAAAATTGCTTGGCCGAAGGTTTTGTGCAATCTTCAGGCTTTTGGTGAGTATTGCTGTCAGAGGGCTGACCCGTGAGCTGCCGGTGTGAGTGGCAGCCCCGTGACTGGCGGGGGCTGGGCCCCTGTGAGTGGCTGCCCTGGGCGCCAGGCCGCCGGTGCACTCTGAGGGGGCCCTTCTCCCCACTGGGTGCCCCCCCCCCCGTCTGAGCAGCTGTTTTGGGCTCTCCCTTCTGAGTGAAACGTCCAAGCTTAATGTGAATTTCTGAAGCATAGTTCTTTTTTGTTATAGAAAGAAGGTCTAGAAACCATGAAAGTTGAAGGGGCTGATAAGGGATAGAGAACTTAGTGAATTATGTGGTCTGCTCAGTAAGCACCAGGTCCCAGGACACAGAGACTATCTCTGGTTGGTGCTCGTGGCCGTTTCCTCTCCCTTCCACCCATCTAGCTTCAGGGGAGAATCCTGTGTCTGGTCAGGAATAGATGCCGATGGTTCACAACCCTTGAGAACGGCTTAAGGATAAATGGCTGAACTGACAGATTCTAGCATCTCCTGTAGTGAATAAATGCTAATGTTAGTCCTTTGGGGCTTTAGGAGTGAGCTGGTGGGACCCCTTTGTTTTCAGGGGAAGAAACAGCACCGTGGGCTGGAATGTCTGGAATTAAAGCCAGTTACCAATTTTCAAACCTTCTTCTTGGGACTGATTATTCAGCTGCTGGATCGTCTACACTGTGGGCGACTTCATATGTTTTGTCTGCCTTTTTGTAATTCCAGAGATTTTAGCCCTTCCTCCAAAGGGTGTGATGGGGCACAGAGACTTAGAATCTGTCCATTTAACTACTTGCTAGTAATTAAGGGAACATATTCCTGAGGAGAAATATTGAAGCGCATAGCACCAGTTTTTTAAAATTATTTGAGTCCATATTTAATCATTTTCTTTGTAAATTATTATTAACAAGGGTAAAGAAATCTAGCTTTTCCAGTCTGTTAGTTGGACACGTTACCTTTTCCAAATCCATTGGAAACTTTTAATTTTATGCCTTTGATATTTCCACACCACGGATGGTCTTTTTTTTTTTTTTTCTTTGGTAAGTAGCCTCCATGCCCAACACGGGGCTGAACTCACAACCCTGAGATCAGGAGGCGCGTGCTCTGCTGACTGAGCCAGCCAGCTGCCCTCTTTTTGTAGTGAAATTGTATCATATCTGCATGTTCAGCTGTATTCTTTAAGTTTCATTTATGAATTATTTACGAACCCTGCTCTTGTGGAGCGCACGGTCTCGGGTCTGGGGGGAGGGAGAGATCTACCGAGAGGAAGTGTTTGCAGCACGGCTCTTGCCGTGGTGGGAGTGTGATCACAGCGGGGCCCAGAGGGCAGAGCAGTGGGGGCCGGGTTCCATGAGGTCGTGTGTCAGCCCAGCCGGGTTTGGAGGGGTGACTAGGAATGTGCTAGACGAAGAGAGGAGAGCCCGGGAAGTTGGGTGGGCTCGAGCAGAGCCGGACAGCGAGGCTGGGTCCCTGCCGAAACGGTAACTCTGAGTTCTGTCCTGTCAGTTACTGGGAACCAGAGCAGTGTTTGAACACGGCAGCACGGATGCGGTTTGGGGACTGATGGTGACATGGTCGCCTTACTTTACTGGGAGCCCCAGAGGCCGGGTCTGAGACGTCCTTCTGCAGCACTGATGGCTCGTGGGGCATTAAGCCAGTTTCTGGTGAAACCTTTTCCTGATCTGGTTTCTCACCGCCCGCCGGATGTTTGTCAGCAGTGAACCAGGGAAGGGGTGGGGGAGGATGGTGGTCGGCACTGCAGGGAAGTAGTAGCCGTTGGGCCGCGTGCTGTGCTCGGAGAGTGTTTTCCAGACGGTTCATTCGTGTCTCTGCAGGTGTGTCGTGCTCTCTGACCCCCTGAAGGACTCTTCTCGAACTCAGGAATCCTGGAATGCCTTCCTGACCAAACTCAGGACATCGCTTCTTATGTCTTTTACCAAAAACCTAGGCAGATTTGAGGACGACATGAGGACCTTGCGGGAGAAGAGAACTGAGCCAGGCTGGAGCTTCTGTGACTATTTCATGGTCCAGGTGCGTGACGGAGGGCAGAACTAGACGCGCCCTTTTTCTCTTCCGTCTTTATAAATACAGCAGGCTTCTGGTGGTCATGCTTATTGGCATAGTTTTTAAAACCCAAGAGACACTACATAGTAGCTGACAGACGTTTCCGTCTCAGGGCCCCTTAAGCGGATCAGAGGTGGTCTCCTGGGTAGTCCCGTCATCAGCTCTTCTGCCGCTTCCGAGCTCGGCATCTGGCCTTTTATGACAGGGCTTTGGCCGCAGAGTCCTCTGGGTTTTGCTAATACGTTGGGCCTCCCGGGGTAGCCACCACGGAAGTGCCTGAGGCTGAGGAGCGCTAGCCAAGGACAGAGACGCCTGCCACCTGCCGGACACCGCGGGTAGATTAGGACTTCCCGGCGCATTTATTTCCTCTGTGGTTTTGTTCTGTAGTCTTGGGTTCCAGTAATGAACAGTCTTAAGCTAGTTTCTAGAGGAACTTTCTAACGCTGCAGAGAGCGACAGGAATGTTGCCCTGAGGTTTCCTTATTCTTGTTCACTGTATTTTGACTGAAAAAAACCCCAGTTTTCGCATTTAAATTGCACTTGTGTGTAAATTAATGAAGAAATAATGCACCTTGAACAAATAAAAGACCAATTCTGATTAGAAATTTTGATGCTTATCTCTGACTCTGTTGCTTACATCTTAGTGGCATTTGGGTGACGAGTTGCGCATAAGGGAGTTGAACCCGTCCACAACTCATTGTAGGATTGACCTGTTACAGACCTCACAGATGACCCTGTCACTTCACCTTTCAAGCTTATCAAACTTGGTTTCTAAGAGCTACAAACAAGGAGAGGGGGAATCCAAGTGAACCCAGTGGTGTGGGATTGGACTCTGAGACAGGAGTATGAAGCCATGGATGGATCAGAAATAGAGATGCATGTGTGTGAGGATTATACACCTGTCCTCTGACAGGGCCTGGAGAAAAATGACTTCTCAGTAACAGAAGCACACTTAGTGCCGAAATCTTGGTTTCTAAACTCCATCCTTTCTTTCTTTCTTTTTTTTTATTATCCTATGTATTTGAGAGAGAGACAGCACAAGCGGGGGTGGGGGGAATGGAGGCAGAGGGAGAAGCAGACTCCCTGCTGAGCAGGGAGCCCAATATGGGACTCGATCCCAGGACTCTGGGATCATGACCTGAGCCGAAGGCAGATGCTTCATCCAACTGAGCCACCCAGGTGCCCATAAACTCCATTCTTAACAATAAGTGCCAGGGCTCCTTCTAGAAGTGGTTGATTCCAGGGCTGGGGTAGGGAAAACACAAGATGGACCAGGAATAAAACTTAGCAGAAAGTAAGGAAGTACCCCCCAAAAAGATGGAGGTCCATCAGAAGAATGTTAGCACCACCTAAAGGAGCCTCCTAATGGCCAAAGCTGGAACCCTTTGTACAACAAAATAATGATAGAACTGGATTTTAACCCATGGAATACAATTCATATCCATGAGCCCTCATAGATATAAATAGCTGGTTAGATTAGTAAACGGAGAAGGTTCAGCGCTTCCATATAGAAGAATGCCAATTAAAAAGTGTGTGTCTGGGAAAGCAAGGGCGGTACCCGGTCCTGTCCCTGCTGCTGAGGGGCCGTGGATGGTTGCAGGGCTCATGGTGGTCTTTTCCTCCTTCCTTCTGGCCGCCTCTTTGTGCATTTGTAAATGTTAACACCTTATGGTCATGAGATTGATGTTTACTTAGTATGATAGAAGTGTTACTTTTAATGCTGCATGCTTTTTCTCTGTTGTCATCTTTAATAGCAACACATTGTTTCAAAAAGTTGATTGACATTTTTGCCTTTTAAAAAACTTTTGTTGGGGTAACTAGGAAGAACTTGCCTTTGTATTTGAGATGCTACAACAATTTGAAGATGCCCTGGTACAATATGACGAACTGGATGCCCTGTTTTCTCAGTATGTTGTCAACTTTGGTGCTGGGGGTGAGTAGTGCACTTTTAGAAGCAAATTCTTTTCTTAGTATAGTTTTCCCCACTCTCAAATAGCCTAGAAGCTGCCATTATTTATTTGCTTAATGATTAAATCACCTTTTATTGTTTTGTGCAAATTATGTAGGATATATTCTTATAGTTCTAATAGAAATGATAGGAGAATTAACAACTGGTCGCTTTCACTGTTAGAAGCATCCTAAGCAAGAAAAGCATTTATGAAGAGGGTGTTTTTCAGGTGTAAAGAGTCTTTTCTACTACTTAGAGCTGGCTGGTTATGCTTCTGATTCTGTGCCTCCTTGCTAGCGTAAGAGTGGGGTCTTGTACTTCTGTTGACAATCTGTTTTTATAGTATTTGAGTGCTCATTGCAGAGTTTTAAATGGCACCACTGTAATGGGTGTTCATCTTTCTTTTAAAATTTTAAAGTCTTGAATTATTTTAGAAGTACAAAATTAGCACAGTGAAACCATATACAGAGAAAAAAGTTCATAATTGTTCTCACTGTGTTTTGGGTGATACCTGTATTGATAGAAATGGCATCATCCTATGTAGACATTTGTCTGTAGCTTGTTCTTCTTAACAGCCCATCGTGGGCATCGTTCCAAGTTAACAGGTCAGGTTTTAGGGTATGTTCGTTAATAGCTGCGTCATGCTCCACAGTGTGGACCCATGAGGGTTAGCGCAGCTGCCCGTTGGTGTAAGGCATGTTTGTCAACATCTGCATCGTGCTCCACAGTGTGGACCCATGAGGGTTAACCCAGCTGCCCCTGGTCTTGGACATTTGGGTTGTCTCCATTCTGACCACCACACACAGTGCGGTAACAGACATCTTTGTTCTTTTTGAGAGAACCCTGATACGGTGTCTGAAGAAAGGAGTCATTTCAAGGAACCCTAGTGTCTGTTAGAAAATCTGTAGGAAGATGAGGTGCTGGGACAGTCAGCTTGGGTACTGTCTTTGTTCTAGGAATGATGATGAACGGCACCAGTCGTTTTTCTCTCCAAACCAAGTTTTAGGAAGTTCAGATTTGGATCTCTTACTTTGCTAAGACACAAATGTAAACATAACCAGAGCAAAGTGTTTACTAATTAAGCTTTAAAAATTTGAGAAGAGGTAAAATTATATTTCACATCTCCATATTGTACATATTTAGATATTTTACATGTTTCTTATGTCGTATTTTGCATAATTTCTTTGTTCTCTCTGTTTTAAAATCTGGGACAAATTAGAGTCCAAAAGTAAGCTTGAACCACATTTTGCAGCTGAATGATAAGATTGTTCATTTTTGTTTATTCATTTAATGGATGCTTATTGAGAGTCCCGTATGACCACGGTGCTGTTCTGAATATAGTAGGTAACAAACAAAACCCCTTCCTTCATGGAGTTTACATGAAGGGGAAACAGGTGTAGAAGTAAAAAAAACTTCAAGTCAGGTAGTTGTAATGAGTGCAGGCTGCAGAAGGGGTTGTGGGTGAAGGGGCGGAGTGTGACGGTAGGTGCGGGGTGATCTTAGTGTGGTCTGGGGCGGAGTGTGACGGTAGGTGCGGGGTGATCTTAGTGTGGTCTGGGGC